AAGAGGTGCTGCAAGCAGTCCTTGAAATTCCTGGATGCACATGGATCTTGGAGCAGGTGCAAGGGTGGTGTAATAGAGGACATGTCCCTGGAGCAGAGGTGAGTTTCACTTTCCCATCTAACCTTATCCATAGCAAACTTGATGCTATATAACCATTTAGTGTTTAGTTTTTGGACCAATTCTGGTGGATAATGTCAGACTTTAACATGCTGAATACTTACACTACGTTTCTAGAGGTGAAGCTTTTTTCTGGATAATTTTTCCTCCCTGCTTGGTTGGGGCATTTCTATACTAATGTGCACTTGACTGGCTGTCCATTCTGGCTTTGTAAGACAATTACTGCTTTGCATCTGATTTATTTCATGGGTGCACACATGTAAATAAATCAGTTTAGATGCACAGTAGTACAATGTTGTGGCACACCAACAGCCTCCTCTACTGTAGACTCCTTGCTGGTTACGACCAGGTACTCGTGATGGATGTTGCCACAGGAACTGCTCTCCTCACAGGGGAGGAACCGCACTGGATCCCTCCCCTGTGGCAAGAGCCCTTGACTGGGGGTTTTCTCTTGGCTCTCTGCAGGGTGTTTTCCTGTTTTATCCTGGACACATGCTGCACCATAAACACTTTACAAGTTTAGTACAAAACTGGAACTGGGAGTAAATGTTCTTGTGGTTTTCCAAGTGCAGAGGATCATGCCAAAACTGTCTACTAGGTTTTATGCTGCCGGAAGGGTTGACCAGACCTTTGCTCCCAGACGAATGACCTTTCATCACCAGGAGTGGAGTACAGATGGGGCTGGTCTCTGGGATCTTTAGCAAGATCTGCTGGAGGAATGGGGTGCTTGTTCAAAGGCTGAAAGTCAATGGTAACATCAGAGGATCTAGTCAGGTGAGTGGGTGTAGCGAGTCTTTCTACCCAGTAAGAGAGATGGTTCATCTTGAGAATACTGGTTACAAGGGGTACTTCATTTTTCATTGGGTACATTTGGGTACTCTGGCTATGTTGGTTCATTTGGCTACATAGAGTATATTGGGCAGGCAACCTTTGGCATGTGCATAGGAGTTGCAGCAATGGTGTAGTACATGGTAGATTCAACTTTTTTTGCCTACTTAGTTTTGCACTTACAATGGACTTGAAAGACCCTAATATCTGGGTTGGAGGAATGTGGGACAATATGAAAGCCTTGTCTTTAGTTCATTTCATGGAGAACTGAGTATTTGATAGTCTGTAATTTTAACTGATCTTGGAAGAGAAGCAAGAACAATTTGGGTTTTGTATCTTTGGGTCAGTGAGATGAGTCTTTGAGGTTGGGGTCAGTTGTGATCAGTCACAGTTAAAGGAAGGATTAAGCTGATGAATAAATTTTTTACACTACATGCATATTCCAGTGACCTGGTGACACCTGTCAGATGTAGTAATTCAAAAGGGTCACGAGCTTCCCTGGAAGTTGGCTGTCGGTAGTATAAAGGGAGATGAAGACTGCCTTCTTACTGAACTTGATTTGTTTTCATTGGTTTCATTGTTTGCAGATGTATCGGTCCCTCACCTCATGCGAGTGTGATGCCAACCTACAAGATTGCCCAGCTCTGGGACAAGGAGCCTGCATTTGGTCAGCTGAAGTTAAGGTGATACTTCTGCAAGAACCTGTGACTCTACATGCGCATTCCAGCAGAATGGAAAAGTGTAAATACTGTTGATGAATAAACTTTTTATCCCACTGCCTGATTAGTTTACTCCTAACTCATCTTGCATTTTTAGTATAGGTTTTCAAATAGTTGTTTAAGATGTTATCCTTGTTTGATCTTTTTGGCATCAATGTCAAAAATGATTGAATGGGGGGGGGTTCTGATTTTTCTTTATTTTCCACAAGGTGCTGTTTTCCCAGATCTGTCTCCGTGGGGAGCAAGGAGTGCTACTGGTTGGGAAGTGGACTTGGGCTTCTCTCGGTGAACAAGGTGAGTTGAAGGTAAGTAGAGGAGAGATGCAGGTCAGTGTGAGGAGAGCTTTTAATGTTGTGTGGAGGAGGGAAATGGACATTTTGTGTTTTGTCCTTACAGTTGGTGCACTGAGAGGCAGCTGTCAGAGTTGGGATGGTTTTCAGCCCCTGGTCTCAAGAGAAGTGTCAGTATCTTGGTCAATTGTTTACAGAACAGCCTCTCTCAATAAGGCTAGACCATGGTGGTGCTGAGTGGTATGAATGACTCGTTTTGTTTTTAGAGTGGAATGCCATGATGGGTGCTCCCCAGTCCCTTCCCACCTGAATGCAGACATGGAACAGTATTGGCTGTCTGAAAGGCATCAGGAGTGTGATCCAATTCCTTTCTGTGAGTATTGAAGTCCTGCAGATGGAACACCAGAAAGCAAGGAGGGGTTTGAAGCTGCCCTTGCTGAATCTGCTGGGTAGCTGTGGATGTAGGAACACATGCAAAGGTAGTCATGCAGGGCATTGGTGAGTTGTCATTTTTAGTTTCTGTTCTTTGATTTGGGAAAGTGTAGAGATGTTCAAGTTGGTCATTATACTCATATAGAGGTATATGGTGTAAAATGCTATATAACTATCCTCGGATGGTAAGTAGTACAAAAAAGAAGCAATGTGCAAAATCATGCATCAACTATGGATCTAAAGTTCTGGGGGGTGAGGTTGAGGTAGATTTCAATGTGTGTTTGAGCTTTAAGAGAAGGTACAGTGAGGGTTCAGATCATGGGTGAGAGGCTGGCAGTTTAATAGTGTGGGGGTAAAAACGGAGTTTGGTAATCTGGGCCTGAGTGCTCCAGTACCGATTTCTGGCTGGTAGAAGGTCAAACGCTCTTCTTGCTTGGGTGTGTGGAGTCTTTGCTTGGAGCTTTCCTCAAGCACAGTTTGTCATAGATGGACTGGGCAGTTTTCACCACCTGCTGTAGGGCTTTGTGGTCGGCAACACTGCAGATGCAACCTGTTAGTGTACTGTCTGTTGTGCATCTGTATAAGTTGGTGAGGTTCTGGGGACATCTTGGCCTTCTTCAACTGTCTTTGGAAATACAGGCTCTGTTGTGCTTTCTTAATCAGATAAGTGGACAATGGACTTGGCACACCCCTGGGGAACCCCAGTGTTCAGAGTTTGTGTGGTTTCCAAGCCTGACAGCCTGTGGTCTGCCTGTCAAAGTCCCAAATCCCATTGCAGAGGATGGTATTGAGACCCAGTGTACCGAGTTTCTTTTTTCTGGAATGATGTTAAAAGCGGAGCTGAAGTTGGTGAATGTTTTTCTTTTTTTTTTTAATCCAGATGGGATAGGGCAGTGTGTATGGCAATGAAGACTGTCATCTGTGGATCTGTTGGTATGGGTCTAGTGTCAGAATTGTTTCCTTAATGTGCCCCATGACTAGCCCTTGAAGCACTTTACCATGATGGTTGTCGGTGCCACCGTGTGGTAGTCATTAAGGCATGTTACTGTGGTTTTCTTTGGTATTGGGATGATGGTGGTTGTCTTGAAGCAGGTTGGGACTACAGCTTGGCCCCAAGACATGCTGAAAATGTTTGAATACACTCGGCAGTTGATTGGTTTAGGTTCTGAGCATGGAACTGGGAATGATATTGGGCCTTGTGCACGTTCACTTTTAGCAGAGATCTCCTCCACATTTGCAGACAGTGAGAGCACCTGGTCGGTCGCGGAGGGTGCAGTTCTGTTGAGTGGATTTGAACTGAGTGTAAAAAGTGTTGAGCTTGTTGTGCAGGGAGGCATCATGGGCAGGTGCACAGATGTTCTTTCTTTCGTAGTCTATACCGTCCCACGTGTGTTGGGTCATGAGTGCTGAAGTGTTCCTCTAATTTGTTTAAGTGTTTTTTGCATGTTTAATACCTTTCTTTAGATTGATCCCGGCTGACTTGTTTTGATTTATTGCCTAATTTGAATGTTTCATACCTTGCTTTGATTAGGTTGTGAACCTCTATGGTTTCGGTTTAAAAAAAGTTCACTTCTTTTGAGTGTTCCACTTCCAGCACGTCTTGATGATGTAGCTAGTGACTAATGCATTTTCCTGTATGTCTGTGTGTGATCCCTGTGTGGCTGCCATTCTGACTGCTAGTTTTGCTTGCCTGCACAGTTTACTGTATGTGGGGAGGAGAGACTGATGTGAGCAGTGTATAGTACTTCTAGTGCTTCCTTGTCATTTGAGCTGGGGTGGGGAATGTAGATGGTGATTAAATTGTAAATGCCCTCAGCAGATTATTGAAACTCTAGAGTGGCTGAGCAGTGTTTTGTGATGGTAGATGCGTTGTTGCACCACACGTTAATAAAAATGCATACGTCCTTGCCTCTGGTTTTACCGGACTCTGCAGTTCTGTCCATGTGGAAGGCAGAAAACCTGTCTAGGTGCATCGCCTAATTCTGTCAGTCGTTTTGGTGAATACATGAGTCCAGAGTCACAGCTGAAATTGACAACTAGTGTAAAGCTACTGGCTCTTTTATAATTCGGAAACAAGTTTATACAAAATGTTTAAATGCCTTTTCAATTTTGGATGTGGCTCATGTTTGTGACTTTGTGGCCAATTTAAGCTTCCTTAAGTTCAACAGACTAAAAGTGCAAAATGTAACTGTTGGTCTATTTTTCTTGGTAATAGTTGTCTTTCTTGGTGATTCATTGTTTCACTTCACTGGCTGTCTTTCTGGCTTTGAAAGATTTCATGGGTGCGTATCGAAGTAAATCACTGCAATATAAGAGACTTGGCACACCAGCAGACTCCTTGTCATGTCAGCCAGGTTCTGTTGATGGGTGGTGGCACAGGCACTGCACCTGAGCCCTGGACTAGCGGTTATCCTGTTGGCTTGTCTTGAATGAACAAAGTTGGCTGTGGAAATGTTGTCTTGAATGTTTCTAAAACGTGCAGAGGATCAAGTCTAAATCTCCACCTGAGTAACTTGCAGATGTGGTACACTCTAGACTAGGATTGCAGCTGGGGTTCATTGTAAGGATTAAGTTGCCCTAAAACCAAAATGTTTTCATTAAAAGTAAGGTTGTCTGTTTTAGTGCAGAAAGGGGAGGGATGAGTTTCCACCTGTCTGGAAGTGGATGTGTGCTGTGCTTTGTGAAAAAGGAGGGCTGCTTGAAAACGAATGCTTTTGTTAGAGGACTCTCGTTTTTCTTTTAAACAACTGCAACTGCTACAGTTTTTTTTTTTGTTCCATGTACAAGTTTGGTACTGATGTATAATATACAAAATGGTGTGTAGTTTTGCCCTGAGTATCCTGTACAGCAGTCAAGACAGAGGAGATGTGGCTGTAAAAGTGTGTACTCGGGGAAAGTGGTTGTTGAACCTTTGTTTTCAGAGGAGTTTCTAGTCACTGGGGAATGTGAGGTTTGGTTTTATGAAGGGTTTGATCTGTATGTGTACAGGCTGTAATCTCCCTGCAGTTAGAATGCATGTAGTGGCTCGAAGGTTTAAATCCATTGGTTGTGGCCCATCACTAGGTTTTGAGTTATTTTTGCTTTGGAGTTTCAGTTTTGAATGTTTAAGCTTGAAAACCTTTTCAGTCCAGGCTGCAGTTCTTTGGTACTGAATATGGTCAGTGTTTTCTCGTTCTACTGTCAATCTCAAGAGTATTGGGGCACCTTGAATTGTTCTTAATGTAAAACCAAAATTTTAATTTGGTCTTTAAAAGGCACATTACTGCATCTCTAGGTCTGCGTTAAGAAAGCCCGAATTTCAACCTCTACCTGATTGGATGTACGACTGAGAATTTGACTTAATACCAGGGTAATTTTATTTAAAAGAGGGATTTGTTTGACTGTCTTGTCTACATGGAATACAACAATAAATGGATTTGGTCATCCCTGTTTACCTGGGTTTTCGGAGAGTAGAATCTAAGCTAGAAGCTTTTAGCTTAATTTTGAGGGAGGAGTTGAGCTGGTCGCTTATGTTTGCAGATGGATGCACCTGGGATCTGAAGTACTTGAATGCTTTGTTTTGTACTGTATGTGAGTTGGTGACAATTAAGGTGGAGTTTTGAACTGAATCCAGAGATTCTTTGGATATCTTCTATTGAAAGAGCAGAACTACAAAGAAGCTGATAGTTGTCTTTTTGGTTACTGCCTGAATTGCTGAACTTGTTTGCTGTGTGATGGAGAGTTTGCAGGAGTCACTGTCTTTTAACACATGGGTACATGACACCATGCTGTTGATGGGGAGCTCAGTGGCTGGCTAAAAGGATGCATTTGGTTTGATTTGATGCAAGTATTGAAGTCCTGCGCTTTTAACAATGGAGAGTGAAGAGATGTTTTGCAGGTTATCCTTAAATTTCCTGGATGCCTATGGATCTTGGAGCAGTTGTGAAGCAAGTATCTAGGAGGATTGTGTTCCTGGAGCAGTGGTGAGTTTCACTTGTTTCTCTAATGTCCAAATCAAATGCATTTTTAATTTGTCCTTTTGTGTGTAAGAAGTGTTTTTGAAGGTTGACAAGCTGCTTTTGGGTTAGGCCTAGCTTTGAGCTCTTGATGTGATGCTTTAATGTGCTAAACATTGAGTCATAGTGGTGTTTTTTTTCTGGCTTATTTTTCCTCCCTGTTTGGTTGAGCTATCTGTATACTCATGTGCATTTGACTGGCTGTCATTCTGGCTCTGGAAGATGGAATTAGTGCTTTGTATGAGATTTTATTTCACGAGTGCACATGTAACGAATCACTTTAGATACACAGCAGTATGATGGTGACTTGGCACACCAGCTGCTGTCTCCAGTGTTGAGTCCTTGCTGGAGATGGCATTGAGGTTCTCTTGATGGGGGTCGGCACAGGAACTGCTCTCCTCCCTGGGGAGGAGCTGCAGTGGATCCTGTGGCAAGAGCCCTGGACTAGGGGGTTTTCTCCGTAGGGCGTTTTGCTGTTGGTTAGTGCTGGATAGGTGTTGCACTGTATGTGGGGAGTGGAAATGCTGGCTTGACTGTTTCTAAGAAGTGCAGAGGACTTGGTCTAAATCCTTCTCTCCATTTCAGGCTCTGTGCTACCAGACGAGATGAGCAGGATTGTGCTTCAGAGGGAGGATCTTTAATGACCAAATGTGCAGCACAGATGGGGTTGGGCTCTGGGATGTTTGTGAAGATCTGCCAGAGGAGTGGGGTGCAAGTTAAAAGCAGCATCAGAGGATCGAGACGGGTGAGTTTCTTCCCCCTCCTAGGAGGCGTGATGGAGCATTTTGGGTATACTCTGGGTGTATGTTGGTTTGAGGTACATTTGTGCA